CCCGAATCCCAAAACCCTAAACTCTAAACCACAAACCCCGATCCCTCAACTCCCGTTCCTACACCCTAAACCCTAACCCTAAACCCCAATCCCTAAACCCTCAACCCTGAACCCCTGAACTCCCTACTTGGAGGGTCAGCGGAACTTAGTAAGTATGTTAAAAAGCCCCTATACCCCATATGATAAGCCTAATTATCCCCATGATTAACCCCCTTACTAAGTCCCCTTGACCCTGCAAGTAAACCATAAGCCCAAAACCCCATAAAGTAGTAGTACTCGAAGAACTACCCATCTGCAGCCTCGCCCTGAGTCTGCACCACCAATGCATTTGTCGCGTGCCCTCCGGTGAAAGTTGCGTTTTCTGCCTGCAACAAGATCTATCCACGACATCTTATTGCAAAATGTAAGATATGCTATATGTTCTGTCTTTAACATACGTGTATGTATATGCAACTCTATATGTATCGACCTACAACTATGTATATAAACATACGGATGTGTTTATATATATATATACAAGATGTATACATACATACATACCTACCTACCTACCTACCTACCTACATACATACATGCATACATACATACATACATACATACACACATGCACATGTACATGTTTAATCAATTGATTTTATCTCTACTCGAATTAGTCGCAATATTGCTGATGGATGAAATCTTGCCTCACTCAGGGCCGATAAGCTCCTGCAATGACCCTAAACCCTAAACCCAAACCCTCAACCCTAAACCGCGTCAATGCCTTAGACTTTAAGACTCGAGATGGTGCAAGATTTCCTCCATCAAGACTATCTCTGGATGTAGTATAATTATCTAGTATGCACATGTTTAGAACCATGGCTCCCCAAAAGGAGACCCAAATACACACCCAACAAAGTTCCTTGGGCACCATATACTCCAGGAAACACATTCCCTAGGGATCTAAATATCCCCGAAGCAGGTACTATTCATAGGGCCCAAAGTAGATATCATTGAAAGACGTGGATCCACAATGACTTGCAAACTATAATGGCTCAGTCCTTGAAGCTGCGAGTGTAGAGCGTTCAGGTTTCAAATTCAACGTTTTCGGTTTAAGGTTTGATTTCGGGAGACCATGATTGAATGCCCTCTGGGAGGCCAGGCTGACGCTGTTTTCGGACCTGCAGCTAACTCCATTTGAGCCCGGCCTCTTGAAAACGTAGGCGCTGGAATGCAGCTTATGGCATAGGGAGTAAGATCCGCTGACATGCAATAATGATAGAAGCATTCACAAGTATCCCTGCTTTCTCTTGGTCTACAGACTGATAAAGGAAACACAAAATGAATGGATTGGATGGCCTCTACGGCCTGACTCCGCAAACGCTAAACCCCAAACAAGTCAACCTCAATACTTTAGGTGGACCCCCCCCCGTAATAGTGACTATAGGGGATAATAGGGATGATATTAAGGTCCTCTTATATTCCAATTATACCATTATTACAGGGCGGAGGGTCCTCCTAATCAATACTCTGTTTCACAGCCCAGTCTCTCACCTTAGGGATCCAAGTATACATATAATACCTACATTGGGCCCCAAAGTCTGTACATATAACCTACATTGGGCTATTTGGATCCCTGGGGTAAACAATCCCAAGCCATAGGCCCTTGAACGGGTAGAGATTTAAACATCTCCAACCTGAAGCTCAATGTCTGGTTCAAGTAATCGCAGGGATCTAAGTACCCTAAACATGCTGTATTTAAGGACTTCAGTACCATTGACCATACTAAGTATCGTTGAGAAATGCAGATCTGGATAACATCTTTTCTCAATATCATGGAGGCGACATGGGATATAAATAAGACTAGGAGTGCACAGGAATTATGGGGTCTCTGTGATACGTCATGCAGGGTATCTCTGAATGGCACCCATATGCAATAACGAGACACTACCCGCCCCAACCCAAAGCCCTGCTCTAAGCCTTCATCTCCAAATTGGGATTCCTCAAGCCAGAAAACAACGTTGGTATCACTTTGGGTTCGGTGCGTCCTTATGTATGCCTAATACATGTGGGACACATAAATTCAGCTGAACTTCCAGGGAACGTAGAATAGGGTAAACTAACGCGAAAGTCTCAGGGTTCAGGGCGTATGGTCGCATCAATGATAGGACCACCCTTCAGGCTCCGGATACCACTATGGGCTATTAGACCCTAAAATTCCCTATCAGGACCCTATTAAGGGTAGATTAAGGTACCCTTCAGGTCTAATAGCCCATAGTGGTACAGGGTTTACGTAATGGGTGACCACCGAGATGTTCATGTTGAGGAAACTCCCCTTGCGATGCCTGCTAAGGCATATGGTACCCTAGAATATAGGGTTTAGGGCCCTATAATGGAGAATCAAATGGAAAAGAAAATATAATGGAAAATGAAATGGAAGCTGGGATTATATAGGGGTTATTTGAGTAGTTTTGTACTGATGGGGGAATTCATATTGAGACATATTGGGACTCGTTTCATAGCCAGGACCAAACCGTTGGGGTTTCCATGCTTCAACAGAAAGAAACCCTTCTCACAAGGACTCCCGCATATAGATCTTTAATCTTTAAATATATAAACTCAGATACAAGCTCCGAAGTTTTTTTTGTGCGAGCTGTTCGGTCTGCAGTCAGCCAAGGTCTGTCTACCCAGCTGACTTCCACTATGGGCTATTAGACCTTAAGGGTACCTTAATCTACGCTTAATAGGGTCCTGATAGGGAATTTTAGGGTCTAATAGCCCATAGTGGTTGACAGTTTGCGCGCAAAAGCTTAGATGCAAGCTGCAGGGTGCACTGCAAGGGCCAAAGAGATTGGAAACGCTGAACAATTATTAGTTCCACTACTTGGGTTTAGGGTTTAGGGTTTAGGATTACAAAGAAGATGAGTTCAAGAAGATGTCCCTTGCCGCACCAGGTACGTTTGCCCGGAAGCAAGACACCTTGACGGCTCTCGGACAGAAGCCTGAAGACCTGGGAATGTCTAGGTTCACGATTTGTGGCCAACAGGGTTTAACGATCCTCCTTATGTGTACGTTTGAGCAAGTATAGCTCGAGGACACCTAATTTTCAGAAAACACCCCCGCCTGGATGTTGCCTTACTTGCCCTGCTTCATCATCAGGGAACGCTTGCGCTGGGTCTTCTGCATCTGGGTCTCCTGCTGCAACCGAAGGGTCCATGTAGGGGTGTGGTATATACGTAGGAACCCAAAGGGCTCATGCCTACTTGGAGTCTTCAAGATCACTATACCATATAGCTGCATGGACGTTGGGGCAGCAAAGAAGGAATGGAAAGCATAGTGTACCAGCGCGCCCCAAGACTTTGGAATCCTGTCCTCATCACCATTTGGTTTCCACAGGCCGCGGTGAAGAACCTCAGCCGCTGCGTCGTGCACCTTCTCCCAACCGTGGAAGCGGCCACGCTGGCTGAGCGTGCCGACAGCATTGGGGAAAGCATGGTGCACCTTTTTTGTTTGCGACCGCACCACTGCAACCAAACAAGTTGCAAGAGGCAAGAAGGAACGACCGGCGAAAGTGAACCATAGGGGGAACAACCTATCTACCTACCTAGAAAGCAAAAAACAGACATCATACTCCGCGGAGGGCTTGTATCGTCCATTACCTTGAACTGCTGCTAAGCTTGCCGTTGGGATCAAACCCTAAGCACTAAACCCCAAGATCCTAAAACCTAAAGTATACCCACTGCGGGCCTGAAAGTCTATGGATGCTACGCTCCTGGGATATTTGGATCTCTAGAGGGTCATGACGGGTTCTTTAGCCCTTATAGAACACTCATCAAGATGATAATTTCCCCTTTATGTTCGGTTTGGTTCCCCATTAAAGGGGGTGGTTTACATAGGTACCCCATGTAAATCTTCTATACCCGTTCCGATATAACCCTCGAAAGGACCTAAATTTTCCATTTCATGTCCATGTTCTTCTTGATCTGACTCTCCATTTAGGATCCTAAGGCCGATGGTGCATCTGACATAGTGCATGTCTAGAACTGCCAAGGCGCGTCATGGAAGAGCATCTCGTTCCAGCGATGCTTGCCTCCCAGATAGTTTCTGCATCCAGAGTCAGTCTTGCTAGCCAACTCTAACCCAAAGGGTCCTAGGTACCCATATGGGGAATACTTACCCAAACCATAAGGGAAATTACTACTACAGAAACCATACTTAGTACCATATTGGTACGTTGGACCCTTTGGGAAAGTTGTAACACCCTGGACCCACCTTACCCACCCACCTCCATCCCACCAACGGCCTTAAGACCCAGGCCTCTCTACCAAGGGCCTTCAAATCCAGGGCTCCAAGCAGTCCAAAGTAGATACTGTGTGTAGACTGCGAGAACCCAGGGTACACGTAGACGTAAAAGCTCAAGGCAATATTGTCATAATCCCTGGAGAAACTGCAGTGTAATCCCAGATTCGCAGATTCCATGTGAGCTATAGTCTAAACTCCTAGTATCCCCCTTAGTAGCCCCTATAGTAGTCCCCTATATAATCCCCTATATAACCCCCTTTAAGGAGTTTAGACTATAGCTCATGTCAGTTTCCATGTGTTTTCCATTGGGTTCTATACTCCGCTACGAAGACCCTAAGCGCTACGTGATGTGTCATTTTCCACGTTTCCATTCATTAGTGCCAAGTAACAACTCAAAACTCCAAAGTCTACATCTTGAACCCTTAACTCCTAAGCCCTAAAGGCCTACGCCTTTAATCCTGAAAAGCCCACTGCCTCCAAGGACCATGGCCATCACGTTGTGAAGCACCGGCCAGGTACGACCCGGGTCCTGCGCCAGGAACTCGTTCCAAGGAAGGCCTCACTTGTAGAAGACTGGTGCTTCGGGGCTATGGTTTGAAGTTTAGGGCTTAAGGCTTAGAGCTTAAGGTTTAGAGTTTGGGGTCTAGGGTTTAGAGCTCAGGGTTTAGACTTCATAGGTAGATTCGTGAACACGGCGTGCATCATGTCCAAACAAAGAAAGCTGTAGTAAGAGCAACGGGTCTGGTCTTGGATTACCTAACTGGTAGATACACCTTCAATATACAAATCCATGCATGACCGAGGCTACATTACCCAAATGGTCCATGTCGTGGCTAAGGAGCATATATTTGGGCCCCAAAGTAGGTAAAGGGCCCTGGGTTTTATTTGTCCCTATGTGGACCCTTCGGGTTATACATTGGGATTGAGGTATTTTCGTATACTTATTCCGCGCAGGAAAGCAACATCATTATGCTACCTACCCCTACCTATGTACCTGCAGCTTTACGTGTTGGGACAATCATGGTGACCAAAGTTGTTGTTTCTGCTTTGCAGTTGCTCTTGTGCCTGTCAGTTGCAGACCAAATCTCAATGCAAAAAAAGGTTGATCAGTGACAAGTCAGTGGCTATGTGTGAAGTTGGTGATGAACATCCAGGCCGCTGAATACCCCACGCGCGCGAAGAAGGACACCGTGAACATGAACCTCCATCCCTCGCTGAGAGGACGTCCCAGAGGGTAGGTGCCGAGAAGCCACACCAAGGCCCACAGGGACAGGACAAACGCATTGTGTTTAATGCGACGAGGAACCCACTTGCTCCAGAACCTTGGCTACCATTGTTAGGGCTTAGGGTTTAGGGTTAAGGGTTTAAGGGTTTAGGGAATAAGCGAATACAGGGACAAAATCGGGACTATATAGGGACGATATAAGGACTATATGAGGACTATATAGGGGTAATATAAAGGTAATATAGGAGATGAAGGTTTTTGTCATCTAGGGGTTGCTGAATCGAATACCTTCTTTCTACCCTCAGCATCTTTGCAGTCAAGTCCTTGGGGGCGCACGAGCTCATTGTCAGTTGGAGCTTGTTGCAGCATATCTTAAGGCCAAGGAACTCCTTGTTGCACTTCCCGCCTGCACCCTCGTCAGGGAAGTGCATCCACCACTCCAGAGCGAAGAGGGAGCCAGTGTCGTTCAGCCCAAAGAAGTGGATCACGGGGATGAACCTTGGTCCACATTACCCAAGGAAGAAAAAAGGATCCTTTTTCCTAAATGTCAGGAATCCCATACCCCAAAAAGTACAAAGGATCCTTAACATTGATCCAGGAACGGCACAGTCAGGAGATACTTGTACCAGTTGGCGCCCCACGGCCCGGCCCACTGCTGCAGGGCGTAGTGGAACTCCTGTCAATATCTGGAGTTATGGTGTGTTATAAGTACTAAATTAAAGCATGTTTACAGAGGGGTGCCGCGATTCTGCCTACAAGTTCGTAATTCCGTGGAACTCCTCGGGGTCCCAGCCGAACTCGCCCTGGATCAGCAAGTCCACAGTGGACGCATGATGCCTGTTGCGTGCTTTTGTTGCCAGCACCGCATCGGACTTACTAGCCAACTCCCCTCGCTTGAGGCAAATACAGAAGTTGATTAGGCTTTTGCTTGCTATTCATATGCAATACTCTCGATTGACGAAAAAGCCTGCAGCTCCCTGGGCAGATCATGCAGGTGGGAAAACAGCAGGACATAGCAGAGTCTGCAACTAGTTCCTGGCCTGTTGTGCTCCAGGACGAATTCCTCCCACGGCAAACTGAAGAAATCTGCAAACCTTGGTCGCTAATGAAGAATACTCAAAGTCTATTTTTAGCTCCCTCAAAGATACGAACAATGAAGACTCCAAAAGTTGCAAAGTGCTGAAGTGCTAACATGTTGAGCTTAGAAAAAGCGCGCCGCCCAGAAACGGGTGGGTGAGGAACTTAAATTGTTACCATAATGGGTATTTAAAGTAAATAATAGGGTTTCCCCAATACAGTAACTTAATAAGTTCCTTAACAGCAACCCAAGAAACGGGTGGGTGAGGAAGCGCTGCCACTCATAGACGGGAAATGTGGCCCCGTGCATGACATCGTGGTCGATGTAGATGCTGAAAGTCACAGGAGTCAGGCACCATGGGAAGGCAACGCAAAAGCAAATCGCACATCAAACGTCTACGATAACACATCCCAGAAGATGAACATATCGTGCAGGCAACATTGTGCAGGCATCCTTTTCTACTCAGAGGCTGCTAAACTCTAGCATGCGCCTTCTCATGACTACACAGCAAGTCCCTACTCCTTCGCCATCGAATGCATGCCACACGCAACTCACATCTTAATGCGACAAAGGTTCTTCTGAATGGCGATGTACGAGAAAGGCAGGCCGAAGCACAGCGTGCAGGTCCACCAGTAGTCCGGGAAGCAAGCCAGGGCCCCGCAATAAGCAACGACCATGAAAACTTGCGACACGAAGATCGCCGTAAGCACGTTCCACCTACAATTTCAGCTGTAGAAAACGCACAATCAGCACAGTTCCTTCCACTATCTCCGCAACTTAAACAGCAAAGTAAATGCACTTTATAAAAGGCCAGTCTGCATGTAGATCATTTGCTCAGGCGTGATCTTCGTGAACAAGAAGGCCAAATTCTGTGGCATGGGGTCCGGCTTGTTTGGGGTCGGGAAGAGACGATTGGTCTTCAAGCTCCTGCGTCGGTGGCTTCGGGTTTATGGGTTTTAGGGTTAGGTATTTACCTGGACCCTGGATGTCCTACCTTTTTGAGGGTATACCCTACAAATTTATAGGACATAACCCCAAAAAGGAAGGACATCCAGGGTCCAGGTAGGGTCTAGGTTTTACCCTCAATCCTAAACCCTCAAGCGTAATACCATCCTGCCAAAAGAAGCCACCCCAAGGTTCAAGTAGCAAATAAGGACGATCTATAAGTCTTAATTCGGCCTAATTAATAAGGGTGTTTAGGGTTTAGGGTTTAGGGTTTAGGGTTTGGGGTGATAGTATCGTAGCCCACCCTTAATAAGGCTTTAATGTGCAAGCGCTACAAACCCCTCGCCTGAGATTGATCGACAGCCATATTATGGAGGGTGGGTGGTTGTAATATTAGCAAGGAAAGAATATAGGTGCACGCATATATATATATATGGATATATATATATATATTTATTTATTATGTACACACACTATAATATATGCCGCATTATGTGGCCCTTTTCAAGATTTGGGACTCACGCTTCGAGGGATTCCTTTGAAGAGGACTATAGTTTTCGGGCAATATTGCTTTCGGCCTTAGGAGCATCCTGCATCAATTCTCACCTATCGGCCCTTTTTGGAAGCCCCTTGGGTGTGGAATTGGTCCAATAGTGGTCCTGTTCTCGTTGTTCTTCTCGACGGCCAGCATCTTATCCTTTTGCAGGAAAGAATACTAAATCTCCAGGATACGATAATTACTTCGGCCTCTTATACTGGTAAGCGCTGTTGGCTTTTTTTGGGAGTGTATGAGCCATCGTCTGAACTTCTAGTATCCCCCTTAATAACCACTATAATACTCCCCAAGATAATCAACTATATAATTCCCATTCAAGGCATGGCATGCATGGCAAGGCGTGCCTCTGGGAAAGTAAGTTGCCCTCAAGACCAAAAACCAAACCCTAGCCCTCTACCTCCGCAATCCCTAAGGGTAAGCTGAAAACCCAAAACTCTCCAGATCCTAAATCCTAACTATGAACCCCAAATCAACCCAAAATCTTCCTGGATTCTTTCACCCGGAGGCCTATAAACCTCTAAACCCGCAACCCTAGGCCCCAAAACCAAAAACACTAAACCCGAAGCCCTGAAACCTAAGCCCAAAATCAAAATAACGAGCCCCAGCGGACCCCAAACCCGAAACGGGGTTAGGGCTTACCTTAAGGGTCCAAGTACCGAATAAGCATATACTTACCGAAAACCTACACTATAATTACTATTACCCAAAACCCATGTACCCATCTATTGGGTACTTGGACCCTCTGGGTAAACCCTATAACCCATATAGTAACCCTAATTATCCCCATTTTTAACCTACTTACTAAGTCCCCCTGACCCTAAACCCTAAACCCTAAACCCTTAAACCCTAAACCCTTAAACCCTAAACCCTAAACCCTTGGGATGAGAAAAGGTCCTTACTCTGACCCACCGCGGCGGCGTTCGGGTCGGCCTCACCTCTCACAACTGCAGTGGCACAAATGAGCCATACTCTTAACTCCTTAAAGGGGTGGGGGTTATATGGGGGATTATATGGGGGTTTAGGGTTTAGGATTTAAAGTTTAGGGTTTAGGCTCTGAACTCCTTAAAGGGGGGTTGTATAGGGGATTATATAGGGGACCACTATAGGGTTTATTAAGGAGGATACTAGGAGTTCAGACTATAGCGCAAGTAAATCTTCCGTTTCTGGAAACTGTCGGAGCACTACTTTGACCTATATGTGTATGTAGGTATGTACGGGGATATGTAGGGTTAGGATTCAGGGACCCATTTTCACTAGCACGTCGTTTCGCGGTATGTTGCATTAGAAGGGCTTAGAGTTTAGGGTGCAAAGGCCTGAAAAATTATTGCAACAGCTGAAAGGAACTTAAAGTGAAATGGAGAGTCTGTTTACCCCGGGATTGAAATAGGGATGGTAACGTGGGGGCCTAGATGATCAGAGGAGTGTTTTGGGCTACATTCTGTTATGGTGTAACTACATAAACCCTCAAACCAAAAATCCTAAACCCTGAACCCCCTAAACCCTACAGAAGGATTGTACAGGAATATTGCTAGCATGTACTTTGGCTTCTGCACTACTGCCCTCTGCAGCGCGAAAGCTGATCAGGCTTGGGGTTCAGGATATAGGTTTCAGGGTTTAGGGTCTAGGGTTCAGAGTTCAGTGTTAGGGTTTAGGATTTAGGGTTCAGGGGGTTAGATTCAGAGTTTAGGGCATATACACCCTAGAGCTCCAAGTAATCCGACAGTAGATAATTCCATAGACTTCCGGGTGCAGAGTAGGCATCCCTTAAATATTTCGTCCCCAGTATAAATGGGAGGGTTTGAAATTTCAGCCTTCAAATATTTTTTGTAATGCCATTCTTGAACCCATGATTCCAAGACAGTTTAGGGCCTAGCTTTGATTGTAGTCTTTTCTCAGGATGAGATCCTGCAAGGTTTGGTAGTCCCAGCAAAACGGGACCCCAAAATGGACTGTAATATAGTATGGAGACCGCCAAAAAAGGAAACCGTCATTTTAGAAAAATGCCCCGTGAAAGAGGTCCCAGAACTCGCCATACAACCAGCCAACCCTCGACAGCCGCGCCTCTAAGTACTAAGCCGAGCGCAACATTCCGAGCAATGGCTTTAGGAGTTGGACTTGGCAATCCCCTCAAACAAGATGACCCCGCCCTCAACCCCAAACCCCAAAGTAGTCATCCAAACTATACTATTATATGATGAGCGTTGACGGAGGTTGGGTACTCAACGGCGGCCCCGTGGTAGGATGATCCACCCTAAAAACTAACCCAAACCCGAAGCCCTGAACCCTAAACCCTCAACCCAACAGACGCTAAACCCTTAAGTAGACCTTTCTGACAAACGGCTACAGGAAATTCCAAGGATGTCTCAAGCTTCCCGATGGGGGGGTCTAACAGTCTAGAAATAATACCCAGTTTGGTCTCACTCGGGTTGGGGTTTATGGCTTATCGTGTATGGGTTCAGGGTTTTGGGGGTTGAGTTTACACCCGCTTAGGCTTAGGGCTTAGTGTTCTACGTGGGCTCCTGAATGTAGGATTTGCGGAATTTGAGGTAATATGTGTCCTAGAGAATACCCGCACAAGCCTCCTCGTCTACTACAACCCACGCACACACCCTAAACCCTAAACCCTAAACCCTACACCCTAAACCCTAAACCCTAAACCCTAAACCCTCCTGCACCCTCAAGACCCACATTCTAAACCCCAAGCACTGAGCCCTCAAACCTAAAAGCAAAACCGAACCTTAGACTCCGAGCAGTACATCCTGAAGCCTAAACCCCAACATCCCAAAAACCCAACCCCTGCACTCTACAGACCCCAAAACCAAAATCTTAAACCCTAATCACCTAAGCCGCCCAGACCCTGAACCCTTAACTGATCCTAAGGGTTTAGGGTCTAGGGCCCTAAACCCTTAACTGCACCCTGCCTGGCAGGGCATTCTTCAAAGCCGCGATCTCATGATCTCGTTCGTATTTCTTCTTAAGCCTTGGAGAACACCAAGGGTTCAGGATTTTAGGGTTGTAGGGTTTAGGGTTTAAGGGTTTAGGGTGTTTAGGGTGTTTAGGGTTTAAGGTTTAGGCGTTTTAGCCTTTATTGATTAGGGTTTTGAGGTTTTAGGGTTTTAGGGTTTAGGGTGTTAGGGTCTAGGGTTTTAGGGTT